TTTCAAAACAAAATTCTTTGTGTTGCAGATTCCTTGACTTTGAGTCATATTTTGAACAAAAAATTAGTAGTACTATACACTTAACAAAAAAGACTTTCAATTCAGAGGTTTCTCACAGCTTGACATTGCTGTTTCATGCCAATAGATACAGACAAAAGAGGTAATTTTAYAAGAAAACCTCTGAGACCAGGTTGGATAGATTGGGACAAAGGCATATATAGTATTGATAATCAGGGTTTGTGTTATAAGTTAGCAACCGATGAAATTTGTTGTCTATTTTGACCTTTGGGCTAAATACTTTGGCTAAATTAAGATAGTAATGCTTGTGGCCCCTTACGATTTACATACAGTTGAATTTTCATAACTACATCTACTTACAAATTTAATGAAGTCCTAGCTGTGGATAACTACAAATCTAATTTGTAAGCTAGTTAAAACACTAAATTTTTAAAAAAATTCTGGTCTAAAAAAAATTAGAAGTGAAATCTTTCAAGATTTCTATCATAAAATGTACTGTATCTTGTAAATTATATACAATAACGTGTAATGTTCTACAATTAATGAAGTCTAATTTATTGTGATTGAAAAGGACAATATTTTAAAAATATCTATATAGTTATACATGATAAATTGTATATTCCTGGTATTAGCTGTGTTGTTCAAAATCCATGAATGTGTTATCTACTCTACTGGTAAATTAAAAACAAAATCTCTGGAGTGTATAACTTAATCAACCTTTCATACCGTATCTGGCTGTGAAAATATATAAACKTGGTATATTAATTAATGGTAAATGGCCTAAGACTCCAGTCATAGTTAAACACAAGAAAAAGAAAACATTTAAGAGCATTAACTTAACACAATTGTACTTAATATGCCAACACAAACCAAATAAATGTAATGTATTATTATCAAAGTGTCTAGTTTATAAATCTTTGCTATATTTTGTGCTTTCTGTACCTTGAATTGATGTGAATTTAAGTCTCTAATCCCATACTTTAAAATGCCAACATAACAGATATATCCAAGCCCAAAGGAAGGACATATTTCACCGATGAATAGCTAAATAATAGAGTTTCCTGTTTACTGTAGTTGAACATTAACGCAAAAGGTCAAAAGTGAGATATCACATGACATGTACAACAACATTAGAAGGATTATGTTTTGCAAAATAAAAAAAAAGTGTGTTAAGTATTTCAAAATTAAGTAAAATTATACCTAAAGTATAAGACAGCATATGATATATAAATTTGTTATATGAATGGTAATTAAAAATATACACACTGTCAAATATAGAAAATTAATTCTTAATAAATGACCTACAACTGCAATAGAAAATGGTTCCAGTACAAAAGATTTTTAAAATGATAGGTGAGGTAGTATCTAGATATATCTCCTACTGTAACTACACTGTAACTTTCTCAGTGTTTCAAGTCCAAAAAATATTATTAAAAAAAAAATTCACGGTTGAAATAACACTTGGTCATTAGAATTGTGAATTCATAAGGCAGAAAATCATTATCTTTATCTAAGTTATAATTTTGTGAATGATAAAAACATGTTAGATTTTGATAAAGATTGTCTGTAAAAATCAAAAGTGTTTTATCTTTCTCAAAATCATGAATAAATCAGCTTATTATAAATCCYAGAAGGATGTAGAAAAGCCAAAACATCAACAAAAGATGTACAAGAAGACAATTAAATTATTCTACAGCTTTGTCAATGTAAAAGACAACTTAGTACATGTAACTTTATGTACAAAACTAGATATACATGACTTGTATTCTTAATTGAGAACTTCCTTTAATTTTCAAAGAGTTAACTAAAATAATACAAACTGTGTACATCTATAATTTTACTTCCTGAAAATTGCAAAAAGCACAAAAAACATAAGTTTCCTTTCTATTAATAAAGAAAATAAGCTTATTCAAACAGATTTTGCATAGATCTGGATACATGATTTATCAAATGTAAATATTACCAGYGACATGTCATTATTAGAAAAGCAATATTACATTATGCACAAACAAAAAGTCAAATTTAAAACCACAATTACTTATAAAACGTATTTTCAAGGTACATTGAACTGATAAGCTTTGAAAATCAACCACTATGTAAGAATATTAAGCTGAACTCAAGCATATTAAAAGAGGTCTTTCAAAGTCAAAAATATTATCGTATTTAATGTTGTTGTAATCTCATGTCTGGATTTAGGATTAAATATTCTTTAAACACATTTAAATTGTTGTTGAATGTTGTTTAATTGATACATTAACCTTTTAGATATACACCTTTATCGAAAAAAACTAATAATTGTTTCTTTTCTGTGAGTCAAAACTGTAAATCCGTCAACAGACCATTGTTTTATTTAACACATTGATTCATTCTAGCCTTCTTACTTACTTACCAACAAAACATAGTTTGCCATTTTCAAACAGATTTTGTGTGTGTCATGTTTATTCCTAGACAGTTTATCTTTTCAGCTATTGTTTCATTGAAGTGAATCTATATTTTTTCCTGGTTGAGATTGTCAGGTTTTGAGTTCAGGGTATTTTTACTCTTTGGTCAAGCTTGGCTGAGCATTGTCTTGCAAATTTGTGAGTTGGCAAACACTTGAGTCACGCAATCTTGCTGTGACTAATGTGTAACRCAATACTGAATTCAATCTTTCAGTTCAGACAGAAATCAATAGAATATTTATATACTAAAATGCTAGATTTTATAATATCATTTGTTTTCTGTCATATGTAACAGACCTTAAATCCCATATACATTCATTTGGGTAAAAGCAGTATTTTAATTTATCAGTAATTGACCATAAAAGTTGTGGCACATGATCAGACAGACAATATTTACATGAACATATTACTATTATTATTGTATTAATATTATTAGTATCAAATATGATATCTACAGATTTAAACTGATAGAATAGCATTTCATCTTCAGCTGCTCTGCTTCTAATATTATACGTACTTACTGACTGAGTGGGTTTGTGGAAGGATAATTCACTGACCTGTATGCTTCCCCGCCCCATAATGGTTTTTA